TGTAGCCTTGCACATTACAGGAGCAAAAATAGCAGTCATCTCCATGGTTTCTAGTCGCACGCCAGACCATGGGAATCGTAAAAGGCAAATACTTTTTCTTACTTTTAGTCCATTGTCTCAACTCTTTGACATAGGTGCAAACTTTGTGTGTATCCCATGATTTGTCCTGGTCCCCAGGTTTTATTCCAAAATATGCATAATACATATTTTTGATGAATTCTGTAATGTTTTGCCTTTGTTTCTTAACAACAAATTTACCAAAAATATAACAGAACATGTTTGTGTCATTTACACAACATCTTGTAACAAATAAATAATGTTGAAAAGAAAAAATGTCAAAGTGCATGCACAAACAAATACTATCCAGAAATGACACGTCGTGCAACCTGTTAATCGTTTATATACTAGTGGTGTATTTTTCATGGGTTCTAAAACAATTAATAAGACTTATGTCACAATTGGTCTAGAGAAATTTATAGCCAGTGGTTGTCAACATTTTAAGCAAAACAAATTGTGACCCAATTTTGATGAAAATGATTCACTTATGTCAAAGTACATATGATGTTTTGGGAAAAATCCATACGTGATAGAGAAAAATGGATATCATTTTCAGTTTCAGCGTACAAGAATTACCGTAGAACACATAAAAATTTCAAGACAATAAAACCATCTTGGGCCCGTGTTATCAAGTTCCACTAATCGTCCAACTGTGTCTCTAACCATATTGAAGTTTTTCTACTAAATACTAGTCTTTATTTTCTCCTGTTAATTTACCCCTACAGTAATTGTATATTTAAGTTAAACTAAAATTTAGCAGTTTCCCAATTTATAAGTTAAACAGTACAATAGGGCTACTGATCAGGGTTTTGTGTGTATGGAACTGCATGAGAGAGATATGACGAAACCTTTATTAAAATCTTGCACCAGTTTCAATGTAACCCTTGGAAGTCCAAAGAAATCTATAAAGACAGTGTAAGTACAATTCAAGTAAAGCTTGAATTGTACTGTTAATCTGCTTTGTCTAATATGCCAAATCATAACTTCCCCAAGAACCAGAATTCATGAAAATTTAAACTAAAAATATAACAAGTTATAAGTACATTGGCTTAAGGCGAACATACACTAGTCTTTGTGAGAGCTCTTAAAAGTTCTTGCAGCTTCAAACTAAGGAAACAAAGAAAATCGTCAGAGATTTATGATGAGGCTGTGGTGAGTACTTAAATTTTAGAAGTACAAAAACTTTACATTCTCTCAAAAGTGAAAGTTAAAATAAAATTCAGCTGCAACTTACTCGCGTCCGTTGAATATGTTACAACAACACTGATTCCATAGCAAAAGCATGAACTTAAATAAGCCAGTTAGTCTCAACGTTTTAGTATACCCAAGCATACATTGTACACGAGTTACTTCACTTGACAAGCAGAAGGTATGCAAGCTAAAGGAGGGACTGCCCAGAGCTTTTATCTGATTCACAGACAATAATACCATAGCTCACTAATTAAATGCTGATTTAACTATTTCTGTAACAAAACCAGGAAATAAGATTTGGCTTCACCTAAAACTTCATTTGCTACTTAAAAAATGCCAAAGTTAGTAACTCACTTCAACTCCTTAATTTGTCTGAAAGGAGAACAATGAAAAACAACACAATTTCAAAAAAAACGTGAACAACATGAAAAACATATATTACATCTCCATATTACACTAATATTTAATGACTGTAGTATCATATTAGTAATTTTTGCTATACCTAAAAGTGTCCATTCCTAACTAATCTATCTATAGTACACTAAAGTA